GAAGAAACTGAGGGATTCTCAGACATCTCCTCTTACAGGGTCCGCAATGGACTTAGGACTTACACAGACTCACTCCTTCTGGCCTCCAGCACGAGGGCAGCAACGGGAAGGGCACCAGTGTCTTACGGGGTGAAATGGAAGTGTCTGGAGTCAGGGCGAGTGCCCGGGGACAGCTTCCTCCAGGACAAAACTCCGGAGGCCAAGCAGTGGCCATGGTCCCTTTTCTGAACTCTCCTCAACAGAGAGCCAAAGCAGGACAACACCATATCTGAGACTCCATCAACCTGGTTCACAAGGGTTGCCTCACCCTGGCGATGACCTAAGGCTCCACCCCATCCAATTTACTGGTGCACTTTTCTACAATAGGCCTCAAACTAAGACATGGAGTCAAAGCAGCTCTGCCTAATACATGAAAACAAACACAGGGAGGCTGCCAAAATAAGGAGACAAAGAAATATGGCCCAAATAAAAGAACAGAACAAAACTCCAGAGAAAGAACTAAACAAAATGGAGATAAGCAATCTATCAGATGCAGAGTTCAAAACATTGGTTATTAGGATGCTCAAGGAACTCATTGGTTACTTCAACAGCATGAAAAAGACCCAAGCAGAAATGAAGGTTAAATTAATGGAAATAAAGAAAAATTTACAGGGAACCAACAGTGGAGTGGATGAAGCTGAGAATCCAATCACTGATTTGGAACATGAGGAAGAAAAAAATAATAATCAGAACATCAAGAAAAAAAAAGGATCCAAAAAAAAGGAGGATAGGCTAAGAAGCCCGTGGGACATCTTCAAACATACCAACATTAGAATCATAGGGGTGCCGGAAAGAGAAGAGAAAGAGCAAGAAATTGGAAACTTATTGAAAAAATAATGAAAGAAAATTTCTCTAATTTGGTAAAGGCAATAGACATATAAGTCCAGGAAACACAGAGAGTCCCACACAAGATGGATGCAAAGAGCACCACACGAAGATACATCATAATTAAAATGCCAAAGTTTAAAGATAAAGAGGGAATCTTAAGAGCTGCAAGAAAAAAGCAGATAGTTACCTACAAAGGAGTTCCCATAAGACTGTCAGCTGATTTCTCAAAAGAAACTTTGCAGGCTAGAAGGGATTGGTAAGAAATAGTCAAAGTGATGGAAAGAAAGGACCTACAACTTAGGTTACTCTACCCAGGAAAGCTATCATTTAGAATGAAAGGGCAGATAAATTACTTCCCAGACAAGGTAAAGCTAAAGGAGTTCATCATCACAAAGACATTATTATATGAAATGTTAAAGGGACTTATTTAAGAAAAAGAAGATCAAATCTATGAACATTAAAATGGCAACAAATTCACAACTATCAACAATTGAATCTAAAAAACAACCAGAACAGAAACAGAATCATAGATATGGAGCTCATTTGGAGGTTTATCAGTTGGGAAGGAGAGAGGTAAGAATGGGGGAAATGGGGCAGGGATTAAGAAGTACAAATAGGGAGGTACCAGACAGGCAGCAGGGTGTTAAGAACAGGATAGGAAATGGAGAAGCCAAAGAACTTATATGCATGACCCATGGGCATAAACTAAGGCAGGGGGGATTGCTAGAGGGAATGGGCGGGGTCCTGGTTGGAGAGGGACAAAGGGGAGAAATTAGGACAACTGTAATAGCATAATCAATAAAATATGTTTTTTAAAAAGGGAGGGAAGAGTAGCAATTACCATCCAATCGAGGTCCCGGAAGCTGACATAGAGCTCGTGCCGACGGCACACCTGCCGACCGTGGGAGCCGTGGACGTCATCTGCAGGGGACAGATGGCACAGGGTCTTTTCTGGGGCCCTGCTCTGAGCAGCTGCCAAAGGGGCTCCCGGGGCAGGGGATGCCCTGATGGGCACGTTCGGGGAATGAAGGAATGATGGGAAACTAAACCGTTTGGCCGCATGAAGCCCATCCCTGCAGCTCTGCTGGTGCCATGACCCAACTCAACAACCTCCGATGGCTCCAGATGGCTCCAGAGCTGCCCTGTGCTCAGCCCGGCCCCTCCCCAACTTCAGCCTGTGGGCCTCCTGATACTCTGATAGACGGCTCAGGCTCGGGCGCCTCCTGCTTTCCGCCGAGACACGTCCTGCCCTCGCCCCGCTGTCCTGCCACGCCCATCCCACAGGTCAAGTGGCTCACGCTGAGCCAGCCAAAGGGCCGATCCCGTGAGGGAAAGGGAGGCACATGGGCAGGGCAGGCCCGACCCTGATCCTGAGGGTCTCTGCCTGGTGGGGACAACTTTGCCTCACTGGCTGTGCATCCTGCAGGGTGCCTGGGAGAGAGCCGAGGGCCACAGGCGCCGTGCTGCCCGGGTGGGGGCACCCGACCCTGACGGAGGCGTCTGGGAAGGCCTGGGCAGCCGGGGGAGGGCAGAGAAGGGACTTCCGGGTGGCAGGGAGGCCCGAGACGCAGCGCAGTGGCCGGTCCACAGGGGGCACGGGGCAAAGGAGGGTGTCAGGAGAGGTGGCTGGAGGGTGCCCATCAGCCTGACCCCTTCTGAGGCCAGAAGATTCTGTTGCCACCACTGGTCCTCGGCCAAGAGCCCGCGGGCCCGAGACCCAGGCCGCCCCGGCCCTCACCGAAGATCCCCGGGAGCTTGTTCGGCTGCGGCAGCTCGTTGGTTTTTTCGGCAGCCTCCTCCTCAGGGACCTCACTGCCCGAGGCACTCGGATGGGGCTGGGGCTCTCCCTGAAAAAAGTGACCATGAAAGGCTGTTTGGAGCGCGGTGCCCGTCGCCCCAGCAGACCGGCCAGGCCAGGATCCACGCTGTGCCCTGAGACAGAGAGAGGAAAGAGAGCGGTCACTGGAGGGCTGTGGCTCTGCACGGGGACCCCGCTGGGACCTCTGCCGGGGCCCGGGCGGGCCCAGGAGCGTGAAGCTGAGGGCCTCGGTTTCCTCCTCTGAAGACCGGAGCCCCAAGTCCAGCCCCGGGCCCCGGGCCGGCGGGTCTGAAGGAGACGGTGGGAGGGGGCCTCGTGAACCGCAGGGCCGGCAGGGGTGACGGTTGCGTACACTGCCATTCGAGAAGCCCTTTCCAGCTTTCGGCGTCATTTCCCACCGATGATCCCGCTCATCTTTACAGTAACCCTGGACCTCGCGTGTCACTGAGAACCTTCACAGTCGCCCCATGATATCCCAGAGTCCCACGGCCAGGGACCCACCTCGGTCTCAGGACTCCTAGGCCCGAGGTCTGCCTTGCCCCCATACTCCCGGGGTGTCAGCGTGGGACGGATGACACCCAGCTGACCGCAGCAGCTGCCAGGGCTGGGCCAGCGCTCGCTCCGCTGAGCAGTGCCCGGGAGCAGGGCGCTCGCCCTTCCTGATGCCACTCGCCCTTCCTGATGCTACAGACAGACACCGGGCTCAGTGGGGCAGAGACACTGAGCCACAGTCCCAGAGCCAGGGTTTTACCCAAGTCATCTAATTCCAGAGCCCGAGTTCTTATCCACAAGACCTGGTTAGTGGTTTAAAAAAGAAAGAGAGAGAGGGCTGCGGGCAGGGACATGATTGGGGCCTCAGCCCTAGCAATGGCGAGGTCTATAAAAATGGGATTTTACCCACAGCCTCCCAGAGCCCAGAGCTCCCCTCCCAGAGGGCTCGGCTTTTTGCCCATGGCCTCCTGAGCAGGGCTCCCTTCTCCTGCTTGTCATGTGGGTGGGGCCCTGGGTTGCCCAGCTCTGGCAGGTCCCTTTCCAGAAAGGCAGTGGTGGGGGCTTAGGAGACCCTGGGGTCCCGGGTCCCTGCCCCTAGACCTGACCGTGGGAGCGTGCTGGCATGCGGGGTGCCTGCGGCCGTGCCTGGAGACGTGGGCCACACAGGACTCCCCCGGGGCCGATGGAACACGCCGTCCCTCTGAGCCAGGCGGGCCGCATAAGGCTTCCCGCTTCACCCCATTTCTGAGTCCGCCCCATCAGGGGCCAGATGTCTTGGCAACTCCCTCGCCCTATCCTGTCCCAGGGCAGGTGTGGGGCCCTAATTCATACCCCTCCCCAAATGTGCCCGGCCAGGAGGGCTGCCATCTCTTCCCCAGGCTCTGGGCGGCACCTGAGCCTTCCCGGCAGCGCCTGGCCCGGTCATGGATGTGACCCTGGTCACGCTGAAGGACACTCAGGGTGCATGCTTGAAACCTGAAGGGAATCCTGTAGGTCTGTTAACCTTGTCCGTTTTTGTCCCGTAGGTGTGACTTCCTTGCACGAGGACAGGAAACTCAATCCTTTTCCTCCTTTCTCCTGCTTAGTAGCCCTGTAACTTGTCTGCGCTGGAACCTCTGCCCGTTCCATGCTGCTGATGGAAGGTTCTCCTGACACCCACGGCACATCTGCCCAGAAGCCCCCAAAGGTGCCCCTGTCCACTCAGTGACATTCCATGCCACCCACCCCTATCTGGTCATGGTCCCCGGCCACTTCCCCCCAACACCCCCAAACGGCCCCCTCAGTGAGCACTGTCTCCCACCTCTCCATTCCAGGATCTGTCCCTTCTTTGGGGGTGAGGCTCCAATAGGGCCTCCCTGAAAAGCCTTCCTTGTCCAGCTGGAATTTCCTGCTCTTCCCCAAGGGGCTCATGCTGGTTGTGCGCCCCCTAGAGCTGTGCTTAGGAAGTGCCCGCTCCGTGTCAGGTTTTAACACCCCCACCACTCCCCAGACACACACACATAAACTCACTTTTTTCTCTTTTGTCTTTGACACTAAGGAGTCAGGATAAAACACCTCACAGGCGCTCTTGGGTTATAAGAGAGTATGAACAAGAGGCCGGACTGGGCTCCACAACAGAGAGGCAGGATCTAAGTGTCTGTTCGGGGTGACGCCGGAACACTATGAGTTAAGATGAGAAAACCCATCTCGGTCCATGGGCTAGGTTTCCAGAACTCCTCCTGTCGGAAGCCACAGCCTTGGCAACACACAGGTGGACTATTTATGGAGGAAACTTCCTGCCGGCATGTCAGACCAACCGTCTCTCCCCCTTCAGTACCTCCCATTACCGGGTCCCTGTCCCCCTGAGGAGGACTTGCTTTCCTTCTGGGGACACCGATATAGCAACAAGGAGGAGACATGTGGGGTTGGAGAAGGTGAGGCTGCAGGGAAACAGACTTTAGTCACAAAATGAAAGGCCACAAAAGGAAAAGCGGAAGGGTCAAAAGAGGCCCTAGCGGGTGTGGCTCAGTGGATTGAGCGCCGGCCCGCGAACCAGAAGGTCCAATTGATTCTGGGTCATCTCCCTCTCTCTCTTCCTCCCTTTTCCTCTCTCTAAAGATAAATAAATAAAACCTTTAAAAAAAATAAAGTTGAGAGAAATTAGGAAGAAAGACAGGCCAAAGGAAAAACATCTTTCATTCAGACAGCGTGTCTTCGGATCACAAACGGACTTTGATGTTCGTGCATTTTTCACGGTACTAGTGCGACGGTGCCTCAGCTCCACTCTGGGTGGAGCTGTTCGCGCCCTCCTCATCCTCCCTACATTCCTGACTCATTCCTGAGGGGAGAAATCCTTCCTACGGGGTCATCTCGAGCTGCACAGATTTCACCTAAACATCCCAGGGAAGAGGGCGGCCAATGTCCTCAGCGACCGCAGCAGAGCTTTCTGAGTACCCACAGAACACACGAGGTCCACGTCTCTGTTCCTCTTTTGTTTCTCTCAAAGTCATTTCCCTCTTGCGAGAACAAAGTCTTTGTAGCCTGAGATGCCAGGAGAAAACTGGTCGGACTGCTTGTGAACTGGATAAAGTGATCCCCCACTTCCTCTGGATGAAATCCTGAGGTGAAAGTGGAAAACACAGCCTCGGGGAGCCAGGCCTCCTCCCCAGTGAGGGGGCCGCCTGCCGCAAGGGCCTGAGGTCGGGCGCGGCGGCCAAGGCGCGCCCCGTGCCCTCCCTGATGTCCTCCACGGCCAGGCCCTCCCAGAGCGCAGTCAGCGTCAGTCCTTCTGCTTGTGCGCATCAAACACGGCCTCTTCCGCGACGATCCGGCCCACGCACCGCTCCCCAGTCAGGGGCATCGTGCATTCCCCCCAGATTTGGGGGTCGTCGGCCTTGGGGCAGTGCTCCATGGTGACCACTCCTCTGGTCCTGACACTGGACACCAGATCCATCGCACCGCCGTTCCCTTCACGTTCTTTCCGGGGACCATCCAGGCCGCCAGGTCACCGTACTTGGAAACCTGCATGGCTCCTAGCGTGGTCAGGTGGAGGTGTCCCCCTCGGATCACGGCACATGAGTCATCGCCGGAGAGAAAAGAGCCCCCGGGAAGAACGGTGACTGTTTGCTTGCCCGCATTGATGAGGTCTGCATCTGCCGCCTCTTTCGATGGAAAAGGACCCGCGCCCAGGATTCCATTTTCACTGTGAAGCTGAACAGTTAAGGTGGGGCTGGTGCAGTTGCCGGCCAGGAGAGGGATCCCTAAGCCCAAGTTGGCGTCATGCTGTCCTCAGATTCGAGAGCCGCCCGTTTGATGATTCGTGTCCTTTCATCATCCGAAGTCCCAGCTTTTCCATCTTCATCTCCCCGATTGTTAAGTGCTCAATTCCTTTCTCATACTTTCCTCTCTGTATCACGCGATCTACATAAATGTGAGGAACATGAATGTCTTCTGGGGCAAACGACCCCACGTCCACAGCTTCCTCAACCTCCACCACGGAGGTTTCCGCAGCTTTGCACATGAGCAGGTTGAAGCTCCTGGCCCTCCTGCTGAAGGTGACGTTTCCCACACGGCCGGCCTTCCACCCTTCCACCAAAGCGAAGTCCGCCCTGATGGCGCGCTCCAGGAGGTAGTGTTGCCCGCGAAACTCCCTCACCTCTCTGGGCTGACTCATCACGGCGATGTGGCCGTTGTCGTGGTACCTGATGGGGACGCCTCCTTCCTGGACCAGGGTCCCATAGGCCGTGGGCGTGTAGGAGGCGGGCACCCTGGCCCCACCGGCGCGCATGCACTCGGCCAGGGTGTCCTGGGGCGTCATCTCGAGCTCCAGCTCTCCGGCCAGGAACGGGTGCTTACAGGGCGCATTCTCGCCCACGTAGGAGCAGACAATGCGAGTGACTTGCTTGGTCCCCAGTAACAGGCCCAGCCCGAAGTAGTCCACGCCCACGTTGCTGCTGACCATGGTCAAGTCCCTCACGCGCGTCTTGAGCAGTGCTCCTATCCGGTTCTCGGGAATCCCGCAGACCCTGAAGCCCCCGACCATGATTTCCGCTCCATCAGAGATGTCCTTCACGGCCTCCACGGGGTCTGTGTAGAATCTGGCGCGGGCTCGAGTGCTGGTGAGGAAGCCGCAGCCGCTGACCCTCGGCTCCTGTGGATACAGGCGGGGATGCAGCATCCGAGCGATGCCGCCAGGAGCAGCAGAGAGGCCGAAGTCGGCTGATGCTCTAGGCCCCTCGGGTCCCGCATAACTGAGCAAGGAGGGCGCCTGGGCAGTGATGCGCCAGCCCCCTAGTGCCCCCAGGACACTCGGCCTCGTCTCCGACTCGAGGGACATCCGAGGCATTGAGCCTCCCAGCTTGGGAACTGCAGACAGTGGGGGACTTGGTCCAGGACTGTCCACCCTGACGGGGGCGGGGGGGGGGGCAGTTACACCCACACCTCCCAGCCCGGTTGGGAAGCCCAGAGGCCCCACGGGGCGCCACTCAGGGGAAGACTCAGTCTAAGGTCCCCTTCGGACTCAGTCGCTGAGCTCCTTCTCCAGGAGGCCTGCTGCAGTTTCAAGACTGTAGATCCATTTTCTGTCAGTGTCTCCAGCAGGCACTGCTCTGGAATGACATTGGTACGGACCTCTGCCAGGGCTATCAGTGATATCAGGGCCCCGAGAAAACTCTTCATTTCCTACCTCAAACCTGCCCCTCCTCTATTTTTCCCCAACTCAGGCAAAGAAAAACTATTTATTGGGAAAAAAAAAAAAGTCTCTCCTGACTGGTGTGGCTCTGTTGGGCAGTGGTTCTATTTCCCATTCGGGCACATGCCTGGGCTGTGGCCTTGGTCGGGTCCAGGCTCGTGGGAGAGGCAGCTGATCCCTGTTCCTCTCTCACATCTATGTTTCGCTCCCTTTCTTCCCCTTTCTCTAAAAATAAGTAAATAAAATATTTTTTAAAAATCCAATGGCACACAGAGTAGGGCTGGGGGACTCAGTGAAAAGGGTGAAGGGATTAAGGAGTATAAATTGGTAGTTACAAAATAGTCATCGGCCCTGATGGGATGGCTCGACTGGTCAGGGTGCGATTCCTAAATGCCAAGGTTGCAGCTTCTATGCCAGATTAGGGCACATGCGAAAGTCAGTGAATGCATAAGTGAGTGAAATAATGGGTCGATGTTTCACTCTTTAAAAATAATCAATAAATAAAATTTAATAAATAGTCAAGAGAATGTAAAGTACAGCATAGGGAATATAGTCAGTAATATTGCATTGTGTTGTCCAAAAAGTCTGTATGGTTTTTTTCTTGTAAAATAAAAGACACATTTTCCTTTTCACCAATAAGTTTATTGATTTGGATATTTTGAGTATGTTGGCAATCTCCCACGTGATTATAATGTTGATTTTTCTCAATTAATGTCTCAACTTGATCGCCATCAACTTCAACTGGTCCACCCGACCGTGAAGCATCGTCCAGCGAGAAAGCTCCAGCACACAACTCCGCAAAACACTCTTGACACGTTTGATCAGTCACAGCACCTTCTCCACACATTGCACAAATCTTTTTTTTTTTTTTTTTGCATTTCAGTTATGTTTTTACCTTTCTTGATGTAATAACGCATAATATGCTGATAAGGTCCTTATTTTCTTCCATCTTCAATATCTTCAATCTTCAGTCTTCGATGGCTTCACAAAAATTCACCAATTTTGATAAATTTTTTTAATGCATGCTGATATGACAGCTGTCACAATACAATCTAACAAGTTTGTTTCAAATGAAGTTAAAGACAGCTAAGTGATACTAGAGCCATCTTGCAGAAAAAGACAAACAAACTTTTTGGCCAACCCAATAATAACTGTGTATGGTGTCAGGTGGTGCTGGAAATAGTAGAAGGATCACTTCATAAAGTATATGCGTCTGACCACCATGCCGTACACCTGACACTTAATCAAAATAACACTGAATGTAAACTGTAATTTAAAAAAAAATCCCCTGGCTCCGTCCACTTTATCCGTGGACTTTATCCGTCCACTTTATTCTCTACCCGCCTTTCTCCATTCCTGCTGCTACCAACCCCCTCCCAGCTCTCGCTGAGGCACCGTGGCTCCCGGGGCCTCTCTGGCATCACTTGACTCTTGTCCCCACAGCTTACACAGCCCACTGAAGTCAGGGGCTGTTTATTTTATGCAAACGGTAAAGGAAGTGTTTACTTTACAGCGGTTGAGATCTATGGAAAAATTGCAAAGATAGCATAGAGAATTCCCCTACACCCAGACCCAGTGTTCCCTGGGAAATGTTAACACTTCAATTACTATAGTGTGTTTGTCACAACTAACGGACCAACATCAATGTCTTCTTATTAACTAAACAGCACCATGTATTCCGCTCTCATTAGCTTTCCCCAATGCCCCTTTTCTCTCCCAGGACGCCATCCTCAGGCACCTCTGGGCTGTGACAATTTCTCGGGCTTCCCTTGTTTCTGATGACCTCGACAGCTTTGAGGAGCACTTGTCAGGCATTCTGTGGGCTGTCCTTCAATCTGGGCCTGTCCGGTGTTTTTCTCATGGTCACACTGGGGTTATGGGTTTTGGGAGAAGACCAAGGAGAAGAGTCCTTCTCATCCCCTCATATCCCGGGTACCCAGGAGCGACAGGACTTATTCATGGGAGCCTTGGTCACCTGGCTGAGGTGGTGCTGGTCAGCTCTTCCACTCTGAAGTTCCCTCCCCTCCCGCTACAGCCTGTCCTCTGGGAAGACAGTTACTAAGGGTAGGCCACACTGAAGGGATGGGAGCGATTCCATGCCTCCTGGAGGGATCGTCTATGAAGAGCTGATCAGATCCTGCCATTCCCCGCCGCTATTAAATCCTAAAAGTTCCCTAAAAACTCCAACCCCTTACCCTGGTTTCCTCTAACTCAGAACGCGCCCTGCCCGCCTCTCTCAACCTCCTCTCCTTCCGACCTCTCCCTGACCAGCTCCGCCCCCGCCACGGCTGTAGTCACCCTCGCCAATCTGGGGCGCGCCTTTGGGCTTCCTACCCCCCCACTGCCCAGGATACAGGAGGCTCTGCCCCCAAACACCTGGTGAATGAAAGATTGTGTGAATCCCCCTACAGACGAGAAAACGAAGGCTTGGAGGGAAAGTAACCGGCCAGGGTTCCAGCTGGGAGGCTGCAGAGCTGGGATCCAGCCCAGGCCCCTCGGATCAGAGCCCCCAGGAGGAGGTTCACCGCCTGAGGCTTACCGTCCTCTGTTTCCACATAGAGGCGGAGTCCCAGGTCCTTGTTACGGTTCAACAACCAGCGGTCACTGGCTGCTGTCACGTCCAACACCAGCCAGCCTTCGTCCTCAGCTCGGAGCGTCTGAAGATCCAAAAAGAACAAGTCAGACTCCCTGTGGATACGAAAGAACAATTAACCGAAGCCGGCACAGCTGCCTTCGTGTTTCCAGTGCCCACCTGGGGGGCACTCGTGGGGCACCGACCCTCCTGGCTCTGAGCTGGGCGCCTTATGTCACGGCATCTACCGTAGGAAAGTGCTACTGCCCCTGTGGACAATGGGGAAACTGAGGCTTGGGAGCTCAGTGACCCACACAAGGTCCCACAGCCAGGGTGGCAGGGAGGCGACTTGGAGCCAGGGTGCCAGGGCCTTGGGCCGAGCATCCTCCATCAGAAGGCTGTGCTCCCAGGAAGCTCCCCGTCTGTCCTCTGGGAAATGCCCCCCCAAGGCTGGGCCAGACACACCGACAGAGGCTTGACCGGGAGGCTGGGCGTGGGGCAGGCACCTGTTGGCTCGCTCCCTGACCACCTCGAACATGCTGACGTGGAGGGTCCTGTTGAGCGGGTGAGTGCTGGGCAGCTTGTAAATGCGGAACTCGGCAGCTGTGACCGTCTCCCCCGCCGGGATCTGGGTCAGGTCAAAGCGGAACTCCTTCCAGTGGGGCTCCTGCTGGCCCAGGGCGCGGTCGAGCTCCACTGCAAGACACAGCAAGGCTGGTGTTCACTCCTGGTCTTGGGCTCGGGCCCCAGGGGGGCAGGGCCTGGTGGGAGCCAGGGGCCGGGCTGCCTGGGGAGAGGCGTTTCCTGCTCGGGGAACAGGCCTGAGCCCATCGCGCTGACAGGCCCCGGGGCCCTGCGGCGAGGTGCCCAGCACAGCACGGGACACACAGTCGGGGCCAACGAGGGCAGCTTTCATTTCTGGCCCCCAAGCCTCAAAGCCAGCAGGTCCCAGCTCAGCCCCTGCTGGCTCTGGGACCCAGAGATGAGACAGAGAGGACAGGTCCCGCCTCTGGGGAGCTGGACTTCAGACCCAAGGCAGCATAGGCCACGTGGTGGGCACGGGTATGAGCGACTGCATTTCAGAGTCTACTGATGTGTGTGGATGGGACAAGGGGGACAGTGAGTGCTCACAGCTGACACTGGGCCTTGAGGGTGACAGTGAACTGGCCAGGAGGTCATGGGAAAAGGATGCTGTAGAGGAAGGGACCAGAGTGAGCAAAGGCCTAGAGCTGAGGGACTAACGGCACAGGCAGGAAAACAGCAGCCATAAAACACAGCAAAGGGCAAAAGGATGGCAGGTACTTTGGGAACAAGGTGAAGGACGAGGGAGAGCTGGGGGGAGAGATGGAAAGGAACAAGGAGAAGCAAAGTGGGAGTGACAGCCGCTGGAGGGGCCCTGTCAAGGGCTGGGGAAGTTCCATGGTATGGTGCCATCCGAGCAGGCTTCCTGGAAGCGGTGGCATCTGAACTGGCCTTGAAGGACAGATGGAATCTTGGCAGGTGGAGAGGTGGCAGGGAGGGCATTCTAGGCGGAGGAGACATCGAATGCACAGACTGAGTGGGCCAGGGCCACCCACACATCAGCAGGGTTGGGTATGGGGCGTGAGTCTGGCTCTGGCCTGACTGCGGAGGGCTGGAGTCCTAGCCTAGGAGCACGGGCTGTGCCTCTGGCCACTGGGGGCCAGTGTTTCGGGGGGCAGAGGAGCAGGAGACTGGCGTGGAGTGAAAGCTGCGTGTGGAGGTGGGGGCGAAACACAGGCTGGAGGGGGACCCGAGGTGGGTGAAGAATAGATCCCCAGCTGCCAGAAATGCCCAGGACAGTATATTTAGGGGTGTCTCACTTTAGCCTTCTGTCATTTTCTTTTTTAAAAAAGATTTTATTTATTTATTTTTAGAGAGGGGGGGGAAGGGAGAGAGAAAAAGAGGGAAACATCAATGTGTGAAAAAAACATTGATCAGTTGCTTCTCGCACGCCCCCAACTGGGGACCGGCCCACAATCCAGGCATGTGCCCTGAATAGGAATCAAACTGACAACCTTTTGGTTTGCAGGCTTGCTCTCAATCTGCTGAGCCACAGCAGCCA